GAATGAACTGCAAAACAAGGGCATTAGATTTGCCTCTTTTTTTTTTGAGTCTGGCTCTGTCACTCAGACTGGAGTACAGTGGCATGATACTGGCTCACTACAACCTCTGCCTTCTGGGTTCAAGCAATTCTCCTGCCTCAGCCTCCCGAGTAGCTGGGTCTACAGGCTCACGCCACCATGCCCAACTAATTTTTGTATTTTTAGTAGAGGCAGGGTTTTCACCATGTTGGCCAGGATGGTCTCAATCTTTTGACCTTGTGATCCGCCCACCGTGGCCTCCCAAAGTGCTGGGATTACAGGAGTAAGCCAGCATGCTCGGCCTAGAATTGCCTCTTAATGTTTTGAGTCAAGCCTTTTATCTTTTTGTTAAACTTTTATTCATTTAAAAATAAACAATATATTCATGTAGTTAAAAATTTTAAATGATATACATTGAAAAGAATGCTCTCTATCCTTGTCCCCCAAGCCACCCAGTTTCATCCCTGGAAGTAACTAGTAAAACTCTTTTTTTTTTTTTTGAGACAGTCTTGCTCTGTTGCCCAGGCTGGAGTCAGTGGCATGATCTCGGCTCACTCCAACCTCTGCCTCCCAGGTTCAAGCGATTCTTCTGCCTCAGCCTCCTGAGTAGCTGGGACTATAGGCATGTGCCACCATGCCTGGCTAATTTTTGTATTTTTAGTAGAGACTGGGTTTCACAATATTGGCCAGGCTGGTCTGGAACCCTTGACCTTGTGATCTGCCAGCCTTGGCCTCCCAAAGCATTGGTATTACAGGCATGAGCCATAGCACTCAGCCATAACTCTTTATGTTCTTCCTTTCAGGGGTGTTGTTCGTATAAACACTCACATGTAAATGTGTGTGTATATCTATATATGTATCATGTATATGAAATATATATTCATTTTTTTAATAACATTCCATGCATACCATTTGACACCTTGCTTTTTTACATTAACAATTGGTCTCTGGGATTAATCTATATATAAAGACACTTTACAACTGTATAATATTTAATTACATGGATAAGCCATAATTTATTTCAGGATGTCCCCCATGCCAATGATAGATATTTAAGTTATTCTAATCTTTTTCTATTAGAAACACTTCTGCAATGAATAAATGTATGCATAACTAAATATGTACATGTGAACCAGCATATCTATAAGATAAATTCCCAGATATAGAACTGCTACGTCAAAAGATCTGTGAATATTAATCATACATGTACACATATACAGACATGGATCTCCAAGTTGTCCTTCATAGAAGGTCCATCTTTTTTTTTTTTGAGACAGAGTTTTGCTGCTATTGCCCAGGCTGGGGAGCCGTGGCACAGTCTTGGCTCACTGCAACCTCCATCTCCTGGGTTCATGCAATTCTCCTGTCTCAACTTCTCGAGTAGCTGGGATTACAGGTGCCTGCCATCATGCCTGGCTAATTTTTGTATTTTTGGTAGAGATGAGGTTTCACCATGTTGGCCAGGCTGGTCTTGAACTCCTGACCTCAGATGATCCACCTGCCTCCAAAGTGCTGGGATTACAGGTGTGAGCCAACACACCCAGCCAAAAGGTCCATCAATTAACAGTTCTAATAGCAGTGTATAAAACTGCTTTTTTCTTCTTACTCTTTGTAGTACAGGATGTTATAAAGTTCTTATTTTGGTAATCTGATAATTTTACTTTTTATTATTATGAATGAGGGTAAGCTACAAAAAAAGAATTTTTTTCTTTTTTTTTTGGAGACAGGGTCTTGTCTGTCACCCAGGCTGGAGTGCAATGGCATCATCACGGCTCACTGTAGCCTTGACATCCTGGGCTCAGGTGATCTTCTCACCTCAGCCTACTAAGTAGCCAGGACTACAGATGCATTCTAGCACACTTGACTAATTTTTGTAAAGATGGGGTTTTGTCATGTTGCTCAGGCTGGTCTTGAACTCCAGAGCTTAAGTGATCTGCCCACCTCAGCCTCTCAAACTGCTGAGATTACAGGCATGAGTCACCTTGCTTAGCCTTTTTAACTGATTATTCTTTTTCACTTAATATCTTCTGCCTATTTTTTTGACTGAGTGCTTGTTTGATTTTTATGACTTTTATTTATTAGAGAAAGTATTTTTTGGTGTGTTTTTTTTCCCCCTTTAGTTTGTCATTTGGGTTTTGATTTTGTTTATGCTTTGCACTTGTAGAAAGTTATTTTGGTGTATTTGAATTAATAGATGGTTTTCTTTATGGCTTCTGGGTATGATGTTACACTCTGAAAAGTCTTCTCTAAAACTTAAAAGTTTCTTCTTTAGATATTCTCTAGTGGTTTCTTTAGATATTTTTTATAGTTTGGGTTTTTCTTTTCCTTACTTTTTTTTTTTTTTTTTTTGAGATGGAGTTTCACTCTTGTTGCACAGGTTGGAGTGCAATGGCACGGCTCACCGCAACCTCTGCCTCCCAGGTTCAAGTGATTCTCCTTGCCTCAGCCTCCCGAGTAGCCGTGATTACAGGCACGTGCCACCACGCCCAGCTAATTTTGTAACTTTAGTAGAGACAGGGTTTCTCTATGTTGTTCAGGCTGGTCTCGAACTCCCAACCTCAGGTGATCAGCCCACCTCAGCCTCCCAAAGTGCTGGGATCAGGTGATCAGCCCACTTCGGCCTTCCAAAGTGTGAGCCACTGCACCAGCCTAGTTTGGGTTTTTCTTAAAAAAAAAAAAGAAAAAATTGGCCAGGCGTGGTGGCTCACGCCTGTAATCCCAGCACTTTGGGACACTGTGGTGGTGGATCACTTGAGGTAAGGAGTTCGAGACCAGCCTGGCTAACATAGTGAAACCCCATCTTAAAACAAAATAAAACAAACAAAAAAAATTGATTTTGGCTCAATCTGTAGATTTTCCTGTTAAAAAATATAAGAAATAGATAAAATTCCCCTACCTTGTTATAGATTAAGCCTAATTCTTTAAGACACTTAACATTTAGCTTGCAAAATGCTCTTTCAGTCTAATTTAGCCTGAAGACATGACTTGGAAAAACATCAATGGTTATTTACTTTTTTTTTTGAGATGGAGTTTCACTGTTGTTACCCAGACTGGAGTGCAATGGCACAAATCTCGGCTCACCACAACCTCTGCCTCCTGGGTTCAAGCAACTCTCCTGCCTCAGCCTCCCGAGTAGCTGGGACTATAGGCGTGCACCACCATGCCCAGCTAATTTTTGTATTTTTAGTAGAGACGGGGTTTCATCTTGTTGACCAGGATGGTCTTGATCTCTTGACCTCGTGATCCACCCGCCTCAGCTGGTTATTTACTTATCTATTTTGAATGTCAGTTCAAAAAGTCTAATTTATTATAGTATTTTTAAGTCACTCGCTTTTTCAATATGTGCCAGGTACTGTTCTAGGAACTGGATATACAGGGATGAATAAGAAACCATTAGAAAAATTAAATGTGAAGCCCATAGTAAATAACTAAATTAATAGCATGATTTTAGATACAGATTAGTGTTATCAAAAAAATAAAGACAGACTGGGCACAGTGGCTCACACCTGTAATCCCAGCACTTTGGGAGGCTAAAGTTAGGATCACTTGAGCCTAGGAGGTCAAGGCTGTAGTGAGTGGTGATCATGCCACTACACTCCAGCCTGGGCAAGAGCAAAACACCCTGTCTCGAGGGGTAAGAGAAAGGGTGAAGCCCGGTGTTTCACACTTGTAATCCCAGCATTTTGAGAGACCAAGGCAGGAAGATCTCTTGAGGCTGGGCATTTAAGACTAGCCTCGGCAATAAAGTGTCTTACCTCTTCCTCCTGGGTCCTAGTTCAAGTGATTCTCCTGCCTCAGCCTCCTGAGTAGCTGGGATTATAGTTAATTTTTGTATTTTAGTAGAGACAGGGGTTTCACCATGTTGGCCAGGCTGGTCTTGAACTTCTGACCTCGTGATCCACCTGTCTTGGCCTCCGAAAGTGCTGGGGTTATAGGCATGAGCCACCACACCTGGCCTAGGCTGGCTTCCTTTAAGCCAAAATGGCTGCTGCAGGCCCATACTGGGTGATGTCCATTGGCAGAAAAAAAAGAGCATCTCTTTTGGTATCTTCTCAAGAGCAAGTAAATCTTTCTCCTAAGTGCTTTATCACATAGTTTCACATTTCTTTTCTTTGCTTTATTTTACTTTATTATTATTATTTTTGAGACAGGATCTCATTCTGTCACGCAGGCTGGAGTGTCATGGTGCAATCATGGCTCACTGCAGCCTTGAACTCCCAGGCTCAAGCAGTCCTCCCATCTCAGCCTCCTGAGTAGCTGGGGCTACAAGTGTGTGCCACCATTCCCAGCTAATTTTTGTATTTTTTGTAGAGATGAGTGTGTGTGGGAGGGAATCATACTATGTTGCCTAGGCTGATCTTGAACTCCTGGTCTCAAGCAATCTTCTCACCTCAGCCTCCCAAAGTGCTGGAATTACAGGTGTGAGCCACAGAGCCTGGCCCTTTCACATTTAGGCCAATAGGAATTTATCCCTGAGCTAGACATGGGTTTTTATCTTTCCCTGGTCATAGAGTGAGAGATGAACACTGAGCAAGATCAGTCTGTTTGCAAAGAGCAGGTGATAGGGGCTGCTTCAATATTTAAGGCATTCACATTTATTTTCTTTGCTTTATTATTTTATTGTTATTCCCCTGCACTGTAGTAGTCTTCGTAAGATGCTTTCCCATTAATTTCAAGGCTCTTTGAGGAAAGCTTGTCTTATATATCTTCATGTTTTTCAGCACTTAGCCCCAGTGCCTTGTACATAATATGCATTAACTTTTACTTGGATTTAAAGATTCCCCAAAATGAATTTCATATTGGATTTTTTGTTAATGTGCCAATGATTTGAAGCTCATGGATAATTTGAAAGTATTTGATACTTTGGCTTTATAAAATATTTTCTTCTACAACTTCGAGATGTCCATATTTAATTTTATGCTTGCTTTCATACTTTATGGGGCAGAGGGAAAGAACTGCTATGTACAATCTTCATTACACATGAAGAAACATTTATTTGATAGCTTGTTCAATTGTCTTACAGTTAACAGGCAAGATAATCTGCATTTTCTGAATCCCAGTCTAGTTATTCCTGTTGATGCATATTGCCTTTAAACAGATCACTCCTCCTTTACCTGAAATATTCAAGTATTTCATGTAATTGCTATTACTGATCATGCTTTTTGTTCTTCTTTTCTCTCTGGAAAAATTAACCTAGTTATAAAATTAGTCTTGTTTGGAGGTACATAATCTACAGGCTGACAGAGGAATGAAAATGTGAAGGTTATGAGCTAGAAACATTCTATCCCTAAAGCACAAGGTCCTTCCTGTGAACAAGGCCAGGATTGACATCAGAATGCAACTTTATTGAACTTTTCAAAAACAATGAATGAGCATTTTGTTCTGGAATGTAATGCCTACTCATTCACTTTTTTTGTTTGTTTCAGATGGGCTGAAACAGTTTAACAAATCTGGAATTAATAGAAGATGAAGATGATCCCATAACTATAGGTGACTATTTACAATTAAGGGAAATACCACACAAACTGGGAAATGTAAACTTAATCCGTGCAGTAAGTGAGGTGGATTACCTATAGACCAAGAGGCTTCCCTGGAACTCTATCTCACAGACCCAACCCATCTCTCTAAGGGAGGCAACACTTGGGTGTCACTTGTCCTAAGCTCTCATTGTATTTAATACAGGTTGAGCATCCATAATCTGCAAAGTCCAGAAATGCTCCCAAATCTGAAACTTTTTGAGCATCCACATGATGCCACAAGTGGAAAATTCCATACCTGACCTTCTATGACAGGTTGCAGTCAAAATTTTGTTTCATGCACAAAATTTAAAGTTTTGCAAGCACCCGCCACCACACCTAATTTTTGTATTTTTAGTAGTGATGGGGTTTCACCATATTGGCCAAGCTGGTCTCGAATTCCTGACCTCAAGTGATCTGCCCACCTCCGCCTCCCAAAGTGCTGGGATTACAGGTGTGAGCCACTGCTCTTGGCCTATTTAAAATAGTGTATAAAATTAACTTCAGGCTATATGTGTAAGTTTTATAGAAAACTAATGCATTTCACATTTAAACATAGGTTCCATCCCCAAGATATCTCATTATGTATACACAAATATTCTAAAATCCAAAATAATCAGAAATCTGAAACTGTTTTGTTCCCAAGCATTTCAGATAAGGGGTACTTAACCCATTTAAACATTTGTGATTTGCACATCTCTGTTGCTAGAGTCTAGGCAATTTGCAGTGAAGGACTGGGACTCATCATACTTGTACCTTAGTGCTTACCGTACAGTGGGGCTGAATGATTATCTATTGAACGAATAAATCTTTTCATATCTAGAGACTGGTGTTGAGAGGGCAAAATTAAATGCCTATTCTTGAAGAGTTACCAGTCTGTACATCTTCTAGAGAGAACCAACTTTCTGCTGTTAAACCTTTCAGAGTCTAGTTCTAAGTCACTGACAATTACTCAGCTAGTGACCCACTCAACCTCTCCTCTACTCTCAACTTCCATTTCTGGAGGCTGTTACGTGGCCCTTCTCTCAGCATTCTCAGTACACCTTCTATCTAGGGATATTTGATGTTTCCTTCTTTTGAAAATCATGCTACTGTATGAGGTTTTTACTTTTTGAATTATCTTCCCATCTGATATTCCAAGGCCTCCCTCATCCCAGATCAAGGTTTCTAAGCAGGAAAAAAGTTTGCGAAAAATGCTGTGGTTTCTTAGGAGAACACTTAAAATTTGCAACAAAGGAAATCTTACATCCTGTAAGATGTAAAATCCTCACCATCTATCAAGGACTACTAATTTCCTCCTCCTGCTTCTGAGTTGAAAAACACAAGCTAAATCTGTCTGCCTAACGCACAAAACCAGATGTCCACTCTTCATCTCACAGAATTAACATCTGCGTCTTTTATCTACGTAAACAAACTTGTCATTGAAAAAGTCCTTGGCTTTGAAGTCGCCAGATGACGGAAGTTAACACTAACACTCAAACCCCCAGTCTGATTTTTAGAGTGGGTCGATTTCACGCAAGTTCAGTGGAATTTCCCCAGACCGCTGGCCTGTTTCTACTCTGCTTCCCTAGGCGGCTTCTGGGACAGAATTGTACTTCTCTAGGTATTTGCTTGCACATGGGTTTACTGAAACGGTCGCCACTGCACGACGTCCGTTCTTTCCGTGTAACTATCCAGAGCCCAACACCAACCAACGTGCAACGCATCCGTGCACACTGGCGCAGCCATCACGACCTTTCAAACCGCCCGGCGGACCTCCCAAAGACACTCAAGGCCCCCGCCTTCCGGTCCCTCTGTCGCCGCCCGACGCCGTCAGGCTGTTCCTCGCTCGCCTTCGCCCTCCGCCAATCCGGCTTTCCCCCAGAGGGCTCCCGGTTCTCCAGTCGTGCGCGGCTCAGGCTGCGGCTGTTCCGTCGGCTGCCGCTCCTCCTACCAGACGCAGAGCGCCGCTCTGCCCCGCCCCCCGCGCCGGCAGCCGTCCTTACATCCGGGTACCGACTCCAGCCGCCCAGACGCTGGCACTATGGTCATGGCGGAGGGGACTGCAGTTCTGAGGCGGAACAGGCCGGGCACCAAGGCGCAGGTACCATATCCGCACCTTTCCTAACGGGCAACTAGGTGTCGAGCAGTGCTGCGCCCGGAAGCTGGCCGCGACTGCGGGGAGGTTGGGCCGGGGCGGCAGGCGAGCGGGCTTGGGCACTGTTGCCCGGCCTGCTCTTCCGGAGCTACAGCCCCTCAGTTTGGCTGAGGCGGTGACGGCTGCCTTGAGGCCTGCGGAGCTCCGACCCGGGGGTAGGCGTGACGGGCGGGTGGGGGCTGTGGGTGGTGTCTGCTTGCGGAGGCCCGGGGCTGCGAGCCTGTCTGTCAGCAGCAACGGCTTCTTCTCGCCTTGTGCCTTAGCCCCAGGTGACTAGCATTGGAGGGGCGCGACCAGCCCGGTGGAGCCCTCGGGGTTTCCTGAAGGTCGGGGCCGCGAGGTGGGAGGGGATGTGAACACAGCCTACCTGGACCCGACATCCAGTTCTTACCTGGCCTGAGAAGTACCAGCCCGGCTCCTGCCATCTAGCTTGTCTAGCCGGATCCGGGTGACGATAATTACTTTATTCTCCTTGTTTCCCACCTCTCCCTGCCGCTTTCCCGGGAGCTGTTCTCTGGTCCAGCAAGTTTTCATCACCAGGTTGTGACTTGTAAGATGTCGTTCCTTGCTAATATGCGTGAAGCATAGTCAGGGAATGCACTGATTAATTTTGTGAGTTTTTTTTTTGGTAGATCATTATATGTGGTAAATTGGTGCTTGATTAGGCATTGTTTCTTAGGGTTTGGAAAAGATAGGATGCCTCACAAGAATAATACAATCGCATGCAGAATTGAACTGATTAATACTTTGCTAGCCAAAATGGCCTGCTATGGACTAGATGCTCTAAAATTGGAAGAGATGTGTTTAAAATGTTAAAAAGTGATGCAACTGAAAATTGAAACAAAACAACTGTGGAGCTATGATTGTATATCTGAGAATAGATTTTAATTTCTCATACAGAATTACGGAAAGGACACCTTTCAAAGGGGGCATACAGGTATGATTACTTCCCCAGATTCATGTTACAGATAAGGAACTGAAGTCCAAGAGAATTAACTGGATTTGTCCACGGATACATAGTGTCCTGATTCTTAATTCACTGGTGACCTTTTTCTCTTTAACAAGCTGCTTTTAGTGCTGAATTTTAGAGAGAAATTTAAAGTCTTATTTTGGAGTCACATTACTCCTACTGGCAGTTTTGTTTTCAAACTACTAGAAATTTATCCTTTACATATACTTGCTTTTTACCATTTCCACACTTCCAAATGCTCTTTTCTCAGATACCATTACATCTTATTCTGTGGAAACATTGTTTCTGATTACATTTTTATATTCAGAAGTAGACTTTTGTGTTCACATTCTGAGAGTCATCTCATTTATTCATAAGTTCTTAATTTTGAAAGGTTAGAAAAGAAAATATTTAATATTGTAACATATGCTTACTATGTTGCTGTGGGTCACACAGAAGAAAGCTTCTTGTCTTTTTTTTCCACATTGTCATGGATCAACATTGTTAGATAAAATATAACAGAAAAATGAAGATTAAAAAATAAAAAGACTGCTTACAGAGCAGTTTGTCCTATCTTGTTTATACCATGAATTAATTTCCTTCAGTGAAATGGGTCTGTTCTAAAATGATATATTTAGAACTATATCTCCTTCCTTATTGGGTAAAAAAAAAATTTTTAAAAATAACTATGATAGAGGGCTGGGTGCAGTGGCTCATGCCTGTAATCCCAGCACTTTGGGAGGCCAAGGCAGGCAGATCACTTGAGGTCAGGAGTTCAAGACCAGCCTGGTCAACATGGTGAAACCCCGTCTATACTAAAAATACAAAAAATTACCTGAATCCCAGCACTTTGGGAGGCCGAGGCGGGCGGATCATGAGGTCAGGAGGTTGAGACCATCCTGGCTAACATGGTGAAACTCCGTCTCTACTTAAAAAAAAAAAAAAGCCGGGTGTGGTGTTACATGCCTGTAGTCCCAGCTACTCGTGAGGTTGAGGCAGGAGAATTGCTTGACGCTGGGAGGTGGAAGTTACAGTGAGCCGAGATCATGCCACTACACTTCAGCCTGGGCGACAGAGCAAGACTTTGTCTCCAAAACAAAATAAACCCCCAAAAACTAGCTGGGTGTGGTGGCGGGCCCTTGTAATCCCAGATACTCAGGAGGCTGAGGCAGGAGAATCGCTTGAATCCAAGAGGCGGAGGTTGCCGTAAGCCAAGATCACGCCATTGTACTCCAGGCTGGGCAGCAAGAGCAAAACTTCACCTCAAAAACAAATAATCGGGCTGGGCGCGGTGGCTCACGCCTATAATCCTAGCACTTTGGGAGGCTGAGGCGGGTGGATCATGAGGTCAACAGATCAAGACCATCCTGGTCAACAAGGTGGGCATGGTGGTGCGTGCCCTGTCTTTACTAAAAATACAAAAATTAGCTGGGCATGGTGGTGCATGCCTGTAGTCCCAGCTACTCGGGAGGCTGAGGCAGGAGAATCGCTTGAACCCAGGAGGCGGAGGTTGCGGTAAGGTGAGATTGTGCCATTGCACTCCAGTCTGGGTAACAACAGCGAGACTCCGTCTCAAAAAAAAAAAACAAACAACAACAACAACAAAAAACAAATAAGCAAGAAAACTATGATAGAGTAGGTGGATTATCTTCCTACTTAAAAAAAAAAGTGGGTTAGACTGGAATATGGGCGCATACTTGGATTGGTTTTCTTTTCTTTTTTTTTTTTGAGATAGAGTTTTGCTCTAGTGGCCCAAGCTGGAGTACAATGGTGTGATCTCTGCTCACTGTACCCTCTGCCTCCTGGGGTCAAGCGATTGCCTCAGCTTCCCGAGTGGCTGAGATTACAGGTGTGTGCCACCATGCCTGGCTAATTTTTTTTTTTTTTTTTTTGGTGTTTTTAGTTGAAACAGGGTTTCACCATGTTAGCCAGGCTGGGCCCAAACTCCTCATCTCAAGTGATCTCCCTGCCTCACCCTCCCAAAGTGCTGGGATTACAGGCACGAGCCACCACGTCTGGCTTTCATAGTTGGTTTTCAATAAATATTAGTTGACTGAATTAGATGAGAATCTTTATTAAGCTGAATTTTTGGTGTCTCTCATAGGCATCTTATCAGTTATGATAAGACAAAACATTTTATTCTCAACATCTTTTCTGTGTATAGTTATCCTTGGTGTCTTCTGGAATTGGGTCCAGGATAACCCCCTACCACCACCGCAAATCAAAATCTGAGGATGCCTAAGTCTCTTATGTAAGATGGCATAGTGTTTGCATGTAACCTATGCACATTCTGTTGTGTAGTTTAAATCAACTCTAGATTACTTATAATACCTAATACAATGCAAGTGTTCTGTAAATGGTCATTATATTGTAGTGTTTAGGGAATAATAACCAAAAAAAGGCCTGTACATGTTTGGTACATATGCAAGTATCTCAGACCTAACCTAGGTACATAGTACATGTCAGCAACAATGTAACATTTTCTGGAATTTTTTTCTCCCCTGAAATGAATGTTTTCAATTCCTGATTGGTTGAATCTGCAGATGAAACCTGCAGATATGGAAAGCCAACTTCGTAACTACATGCGTTTTCTAATATTTTTAAAAACTATTCTGTAAACTTTCTTCCTTTTTTAAAAAGGAAAGAATAGACAAAGAGTATTGGTAGAAACTTTTAGTGTAGATCATATAGGAAAAATTATAAAACTGCTCTTTAATATTTAGATAATGTCTAAGAAAAGGGATCCTGGAACTATTTCCAGAAGATTGTTTTACTTCTTGATATTTTCCCTTAATAAAATTAAGTTTATTTTCATCCAGATGTGGCAGCTATTGAAAAAAAGATGAAATGTTTAACACACTTAAAAAGATATACTCATTACCTACCGTCAGAACAAGGACATTGCTAATATATTTAAATCCTTATGGAAGACATTCTTCTGTCTTCTACTCTATCATTCCTTTTATTTTCTCTATACATTTACTGTCTGTGCATTATGTCTATAAGTATGCTTTGCATTTAAACTATTATTCATTTTATATACACTGTGTTTTCTTCCAGTTTGCTTTTTTTACTCACGGTTTTAAAGTCTTACCTTTGTTGATTGCTTTTACAGGTTTATATGCAGGTTTATAGATTATTGGCTTACTCATTCCCCCTCCCCACCAAATTTTACCTCAGAGACATTTGAACACCAGCAATGTGTCAGGCATTGTGCTACTACTGAGGATACATAGGTAAACTTAGTGAAAAATCAGTCAAATGGAAAGGTTCTTATGTAGGGGAATGTCTGTTAACTGTATTATATGCACGGAGATTCAGAACTAGGGCAAGATGCTCTATAAAAATATCCCCTTTAGGCCGGCATGATGACTCATGCTTGTAATTCCAGAACGTTGGGAGGCTGAGGCTGGAGGATTGATTGCCACCAGGAGTTTAAGACCAACCTGGTCAAGAAAGCGAGACCTCGCTCTTAAAAAAAAAAAAAAAAAAGAAGGCCGGGCACGGTGGCTCACGCCTGTAATCCCAGCACTTTGGTGGGAGGCCGAGGCAGGTGAATCACAAGGTCAAGAGATCGAGACCTCCTGGTCAACATGGTGAAACCCCGTCTCTACTAAAAATACAAAAAAAATTAGCTGGGCATGGTGGTGCGTGCCTGTAATCCCAGCTACTTAGGAGGCTGAGGCAGGAGAATTGCCTGAACCCAGGAGGCAGAGGTTGCAGTGAGCCGAGATCGTGCCATTGCACTCCAGCCTAGGTAACAAGAGCGAAACTCCATCTCAAAAAAAAAAAGAAATAAAAATATTCCCCTTAATAGAAGGCTGCTTTATTTGGATGTTTACTTTTTAAAATTTTTGTAGGTATATAGTAGGTGTATATATTTATAGGTTTCATGAGATATTTTGATACAGGCATGTGATGTGTAATAATCACATCAGGGTAAATGGGGTATCCATCATCATAAGCATTTGTGTTTTTTGTTGCAAAAAATCCAATTAGATTATTTTAGTTATTTAAAAATGTACAATTAAACTATTTTTTACTATAATCATTCTGTTGTGCTAGCAAATACTAGGTCTTGGTCTTATTTATTTTTTTGTACCCATGAGTGATTACTTTTTTTTTTTTTTTTTTTTTTTTAGATGGCGTCTCGCTCTGTTGCCCAAGGTGGCATGCAGTTGCGTGATCTTGGCTCACCACAGCTTCCATCTCCCGGGTTCAAGTGATTCTCCTGCCTCAGCCTCCTGAGTAGCTGGGATTACAGGCGCCTGCCACCATGCCTGGCTAATTTTTGTATTTTTAGTGGAGATGGGGTTTCATCTTGTTGGCCATGCTGGTCTTGAACTCCTGACCTCAAGTGATCCTTCCACCCGGCCTCCCAAAGTGCTGGGATTACAGGTGTGAGCCATCATGCCCACCATGCCTGGCCTGATGATTACTTTTTTAATGGTGTTCATATTTTGGTTTAGAAATTTAAAGCTCTATTTAGAATGAGAAGAATAATTTTTAATTTCTTTTTAAAATAATACTTATGGGCTGGGTACGGTGGCTCATGCCATAATTCCAGCACTTTGGGAGGCTGAGGCGGGCGGATCACAAGGTCAAGAGATCGAAACCATCTTGGCTAACATGGTGAAACCCTGTCTCTACTAAAAATCCAAAAAGTATCTGGGTGTGATGGCATGTGCCTGTAGTCCCAGCCGCTTGGGAGGTTGAGGCAGAGAATTGCTTGAACCTGGGAGGCCGAGGTTGCAGTGAGCCAAGATGGCACCACTGCACTCCAGCCTGGCGACAGAGTGAGACTTTGTCTAAAAAACTTACGGAGCAGTAAATTGGCAACTAAGGCTACCTATTCTCTTTTGGTAAAAATCTGATTGACTTTTTGTTGTCTGGAGATTTTTTTTTCATTGCAACTTTTTGAGAGATATTTAACCATCATAAATAAAAAAGTTATAGACTTATCTCCTCAATTAAGTAATACATTAAAGGTTTATGGGAGCTATATTTGAGGACTTTGTGATTGGAAAAAATATAGTTTGTAGTTCAATTAAATAAAATCTTGATACTCATTTAAAAACATTAAGCAGAGCCAGATGCAGTGGGTCAAGACTATAATCCCAAGAATTAGGGTGGCTAAGGTCAGAGGCTGAGGTGGGATGATTGCTTACACCCAGGAGTTTGAGGCTGTAGTGAGCTATGATTGTGCCACTGCACAGCAGCCTGTGCTACAGAGTGAGATCCTGTCTCTAAAAAAGAAAAGTTGAATAAAATGTATTTCCTTATTTCACTGATAATTACATCGCAAAACCTTTTTCTTCCCCTCTAGTATGAGCTTTAGATCTTTATTAAGAATTGAAGTTAATCATAATAGTATTTTGTATGTGCTTTAACCATGAATTTATTTTTATAGGATTTCTATAATTGGCCTGATGAATCCTTTGATGAAATGGACAGTACACTAGCTGTTCAACAGGTAATAAAAATAGCTTCTTTTACAATTCCAATATCCTAAGCGTTTTACCTCTTTAACATAGTTAAGTATTTTTATATCTTTGAGCATAGACTAGATTCCACTGAATTAATGGAATGTGTATTTAAAAGTTTAATCAACCCTCATGTTGTTTTAATATGGCATATTAAACTGGGCACTGTGGCTGCCAGCACTTTAGGAAGCTGAGGTGGGAGGTCAGTCACTTGCGACCAGGAGTTCAAGACCAGCCGGAGCAACAGAGCAAGACCCTGTTTCTACAAAAAGATAAATTAGCCAGGCAGATTGGCACACAGCTGTAGTCCGAGAAGCTAGGGAGTTTGAGGCAGGAGGATCACTTGATCCCAATTCAAGGGTCTAATGAGCTATGATTGTGCCACTGTACTTCAACCTGAGTGACAGAGTGAGATCTTGTCTCTTAAAAAAATAAAAAGAAGCCAGGTGCAGTGGCTCATACCTGTAATCCCAGCATGGTGGTTTATGCCTATAATCCCAGAACTTTGGGAGGCCGAGGCAAGTGGATTGTGAGGTCAAGAGATTGAGACCATACTGGCCAACGTGGTGAAACACCATCTCTACTAAAAATACAAAAAAATTAACTGGATGTGGTGATGTGCGTCTGTAGTCCCACCTACTCATGAGGCTGAGGCAGGAGAATCACTTGAACCTGGGAGGTGGAATTTGCAGTGAGCCGAGATCACATCACTGCACTCCAGCCTGGGCAATGGTGAGACTCTGTCGCAAAAAAACAAAACAAAACAAAAAACAGTCTTGGTGGCTCATGCCTGTAATCCCAACACTTTGGGAGGCTGAGGAGGGAGGGTGGATTACGAGGTCAGGAGTTTGAGACCAGCCTGACCAACATGGTGAAACCCTGTCTCCACTAAAAATACAAAAATTAGCCAGGTGTGGTGGTGTGCACCTGTAATCTCAGCTACTCAGGTGGCTGAGGCAGGAGAATTGCTTGAATCCAGGAGGGGGAGGTTGCAGTGAGCCAAGATCATGCCATTGCATTCCAGCCTGAGCGACAGAGCAACACTCTGTCTCCAAAAAAAAAAAAAGTCCTCTAATGAGATGAAAAAAAAAGGCATATTAAACCTAAATACATTTTAATATCTTGTTATGTACCAAATTATGGTATCAAATTAGATATCACAGTGAATTTATTATTATTGTTTTCAATTTTTTAAGTTTATTTGATGACCAGCGATTAGTTCTTATCCACATTGACTGTAGATTTTTGAAAGTGGTAACAGGTACATAGGTAACCAAAGTATAGAGCTTATTTGGTGAATCTTCATCCTTATTACGTTTTCTGGACAACCGCACACGGATTCGGTATGGGACATTCCTTATTCCTTTGGCCCAGACAGCTTGGTTGAGCCTGGTATCAATGCACACGTCTGGATTCCCATCTCCTTCATAGCAAATTTCCGAATCTCTTTGAGTGCCCAAGGGGCACACTTCTTGAAGCCCACTCCATGGATGCGCTTGTGAATGTTGATGGTGTATTCTCAGGTTACCACCTCGTTGATGGCAGAATGGCCTTTTTTCTTCTCGCCACTCTTTGAGGGAGCCATTCTGTCGGGTCTGAGGTGGTTATTATTTTTGAGATGGAGTCTCGCTCTGTTGCCCAGGCTGGAGTGTGGTGACACCATCTCAGCTCACTGCAACCTCCACCTCCCCAGTTTAAGTGATTCTCTTGCCTCAGCCTCTTAGGATTACAGGTGTGCACCACTATGCCCAGATAATTTTTTTGTATTTTTAGTAGAGATGGGGTTTTATAAGAATGCTTTCCTTTGGGTTTTTGCCCTTGTCAAGTAGCTTTCTAAGGCCATGATTCTTTTTTTTTTTGAGACGGAGTTTCGCTCTTGTTACCCAGGCTGGAGTGCAATGGCGTGATCTCGGCTCACCGCAACCTCCACCTCCTGGGTTCAGGCAATTCTCCTGCCTCAGCCTCCCAAGTAGCTGGGATTACAGGCACATGCCACCGTGCCCAGCTAATTTTTTGTACTTTTAGTAGAGACGGGGTTTCACTAAGTTGACCAGGATGGTCTCGATCTCTTGACCTTGTGATCCACCCACCTTGGCCTCCCAAGTGCTGGGATTACAAGGCCATGATTCTTAAAGATGTGGTCTTCTGTAACATGTTTGATTTGAAAAGCCCTTAGGAAATTCTTATACATTCTTTTTAAGAGTCATGTCGTATATTGTGTTAGTTCTTTTAAAAGTTTCTTTCATAATGAATAAAATCTAGTGTTTGAGAAAAATAGTTTTCGTTAATTATTAAAGATTTCATTAAGGGGCCAATAAAAATTATATAAATTGGAGTGTACTAGTATATAGGATTAGGCATTGGTTAATTTTTTTTTTTTTTTTTTTTTCTATTTTTGGTAGAGACAGGGTTTCACTGTGTTGCCTACCTCGAACTCCTGGGCTCAAGGAGTTTACTCACCATGGCCTCCCAAAGTGCTGGGATTGCAAATGTGAGTCACTGCACCAATTTTTTTTTTTTTGAGACGAGGTTGCCCAGTGCCCAGGCTGGAGTGCAGGGGCCTGATTATGGCACACTGTAGCCTCAACTTCTCGGGCTCAGGTGATTCTCCCACTTCAGCCTCCCAAATAGCCACATCTGGCTAATTTTTTGTGGAGAGAGGGTTTCACTATGTTGCCCTGGCTAAAGGTAACATTTTTAAAGGGAAAATATACCATAAATAGAGGCCGTTTGGCCTCATTTTGATAGCCAGATAATAAAAGTAGATAGGTATTTGGAGTTATTATGTTATTTGAAGATCTTAGAAAACAAGAGAGACATATAGTTGAATTGCTTGAGCATTAAAAACCACCCATCTGGGTGTGGTGGCTCACACTTATAATCTCAGTACTTTGGGAGGCCATGGAGGGAGGATCACTTGAGGTTGGGAGTTTGAAACCAGCCTGGACAATACAGTGAGACCCTGCCTCTGCAAAAAATAAAAACGTTCAGCTAGGTGATGTGCACCTGTTGTCCTAGCTACTTAGGAGGCTGAGGTGGGAGGATAGCTTGAGCCCAGGAGTTAGGGTTTACAATGAGTTATGATTGTGCCACTGCACTCCAGCCTGGTGACAGAGTGAGAACCTGTCTCAAAAAAAAAAAAAAGTGTTGTTCAATCAGCAGATATTTATTGGGTTCTCACTATATAGCTAGCAATGAGGTAGGCCTTATGGAAGATAAAGGAATATAAACTTAGATCTAGTTCTATGCCTAGAAATTGGGTAAATTTTGAGGAAAAATGTACAGATGGGTCTCTCTTTAAAAACAGGGAGAAGTGTCCTGTTACTTTGTTGAATTTGTTCATTCTCACAGGTTTGTGTGTGAAATCTTTAGGTTTTCTACATATGAGACCATGTCATTTGCAAACAGATAATTTCTTCTCCAGTCTAGATCTGTTTTCTTTTTCTTGCCTAACTGCTCTGGCTAGAACTTCTAGTACTACTTTGAATAAAAGTGGTGAAAGAGGGCATCTTTGTTGTCTTCCTGATCTTAGAAGAGAGCTTTCAATTTTTCACTGTTGAGTATGTTGTTCACTATGGATTTTTCACATATGGTCTTTATTGAAGTCTTTACCTTTATTTGTAGTTTGTTCAGTGCTTTTTAGATCATAAAATGGTGTTAAATTTTGTCAAATGCTTCTTCTGCAGCTGTTGAGATGATCAGGGGTTTCTTTTTCATTCATTCTGTTTTTTTTTTAAGATGGGGTTTTGCTTTTTTTGCCCAGGCTGGAGTGCACTGGCTCAATCTCCACTCACTGCAGCCTCCAACTCATGGGTTCAAGTAATTCTCCTCACTCAGCCTCCTGAGTAGCTGGGATTACAGGTGTGTGCTGTGACACCCAGCTAATTTTGTATTTTTAGAAAAGACAGGGTTTCACCACGTTGGCCAGGCTGGTCTCGAACTCCTGACCTTGTGATCTGCCTCAGCCTCCCAAAGTGCTGGGATTACAGATGTGAGCCACCATGCTTGGCCCATTTATTCTGTCTATGTAATACATTGATTGATTGGTTCTTTTTGGATATTGAGCCATCTTTGTATTCCTTGTATGCCAGGAATAAATTTCATTTGGTCATAATGTATACTCTTTTTTATAATCTTTTTATTGTACTACTGAATTTGATTTGCCTGTATTTTACTGAGAATTTTGCCTCTGTGTTCATGAGGAATATTGGTTTGTAGTTTTCTTATAGTGTCTTTGTTTGGCTTTAGTGTCAGGGCAATGATGGCATCATTGAATGAGTTAGAAAGTATTCTCTCCTTTTTAATTTTTTGGAAGAGTTTGAGAAGGTGGTGTTAGTTTTTCTTTTTTTTATTTTAAACAAAATTCACATTTTATTTAGATTGAAATAAACTATACAAAATTGATTTTCTTTACCAAAAATAACAGCAATATTTTCCATATTTTTCTGGATAAACCACAACACTTATTTTTGTAAGTTTTCGAGGTTTTGCTTATAAATCAAGATGAGGCAGTATATGAGTCATGGAAAAAGACAGAAAAAAAAAAAAAGACAAATCAGTTGTCAGTATCCATGGCCTCTGATTCTGTCTTAACCATGAAACAGAAGTGTTCAAATATATACCTGCTAAAAAGCTTAGGAAGATGTGGGCTCCACAAAGGAATGTAAACAGCAACAACCAGATGTGGAACAACAGCAGGCTCCTCCATTCAAACTTTAACTGTCGTTAAGTTCATTTGAGAAAGACAGAATCTACACTGAAGTCCTTTTTTGGTGAGCTCAAAAGCTTTCCTCTGGTAATTTCTTCTAACTGTCCAGTACAGATTTTTAACATACTTAAAACTCCCATCAGTCAAAGGTCACCTGTGGGCTTCACTGTAACATTTTATAAAATGTATTTCTTCCTCCCAAAAAACAATGGTTAGATGCCATGAAGTAGGTGGCAATGCCTTAACTGTATGTGTGTTGTCAGGCCCGAGGGCCTCTTCCAT